TTTTTTTTTTTTTTTTTACAAAAAAAGCACTGGGTATAGTGCCCACCTGAAATACTTGCTTAGATAGGCCTCTATCACTCTAAAAACCAAATGCTACCGCATGCCTTTCCAAGGAAGGTAACACAGCAAATTCCTATTAAGTAAAAAATTGCATTTCCACCCGAATGTTAGATCATGATAGATTTACTTGTATGTTGGAGGCTGGGGAGCAACTCCAAGATATACATAGTGTACACTGTTGTGATCAGAAAGGCTAGGTCAGTAATAGATTGGAACACTGCATGCAGAGGTTTCTTGTGCTTTCCTATAAAAGAGCTTCTCACAGAGAAAAATAAGTCTCTGCATACTTGGAGCATCATGCACACATCACCGTTGGATCATAGTCTGGACACATTTCTGCAGGCTTTTGAATTTTGTCCCTCACTTAAAATAGTTCCAATCTCTATTTATAATAGCCTGAACTTAGAATTGTTTAGTGAATTGGTGAGCTATAAGAAAAAGCTTTGACGTTCTGCACATTATTGTCAGCAGCAGCTGACTGAAAAACTGGCTTCAATTGAAATGGAGGCTATCTAGACTACCTGCAAATGTGATGCCTATTTTTATATGAAATATACTTGTAATGTAATAGCAAACCACAGCTCATTTAATTTGTAACTTCCTTGATCCCATAGCAATAGAGTATTGTTTCCAGCAGTATAAAATGTGGGTATGTGCTCTCTTGAATCGTAATTGTAATAATATTGTATCTTCCATCACCAGCCTTCTACAGCTGATGCTTTTGACATGAAGTTCAACTTGCTGAAAATGCTGGCTCATGTTTACATTTTGGAATCAAGCTGGCTCTCTAAAAGAAATCATGTGTTTGTATTAACAGAAACAAACAACGCAAGTTAAACCTAGCCTAACAAAGAGACACTGTTTCTGTACATGTGTATTTTCTTACGCACTTGTCAAAGTTAGTTCTTTGTGGAATCATTTTGTATATTATCAGCTAGCACAAATCAAATATTGTATAATATGAAAACTAGAAGCCCCTTTAAAAGAAAATCACCATATTCCATTTTTCCTTTTGTTGCTTACAACACTATAGTCTGTCCCAACTTTAATCATTCTTCGTGCATAGCTTGTTGACACCAATCTTGATGTATATCAAAGGGCAAAGGTCTTCTATAAATAACGTGTTCTGTTCAATGCAATTCGTCCATGCTCTTATCAGTTGGCGTCATTCCCAAAATAAACATTCTGAACTGCTTTTTGTGTGAATTCTCTTGTGCACGTAAATTGTAGGAACTGTAAGGTGCCAGGTGTGATTGCAAATCAAAGCTTTTCTTCATAGATGCAAATTGAGAGGAAAGGGAACCAAAAGAACCAACTAGTCCAGCCATCTGACCATAGCACAAAACAATCCACTTAAAGACCCTTGTGCATCAGACTCTGCTATCTAAGCTACAGCATGTCTAAAGAACTGCAAAAGTGCATTGCAAAACTGGCTGGATTTCCCAGGTATGTTCAGGATTGATGTCTGGACTCAAACGACAGCATGCCTCTGTGTATGAGGCAGTATTGACCTAACATCGCTGTCAGAACTTCCAGGAATTTTTCACCTTGATTCCAGTGGGGTTGTTTCACACAGCTGCCAACGGTCAATGTGAAACCAAGGGAAAATCTGTACATGTTTGAAACAGCATTAACAATCCTATCACAGCTGCTAGGAAAGTTCAATCCTCTCAAACAATTGAGGTAGGCTGACCTACATTAGCCACTGGAACTTGAGGAAAGGGCAAGGGAAATGGAGGATGTCAGATCCTGAGTGTGAGCAAAATTGTGTTGATTATTTTATTGCAGCTTTATGCTCCTCCATCCTACTCCACCCCTGCCCCCCCCCCCATGTTCCCAAAAGCCTCTTCTGAGGGCCAGAGAGCCATCAGAAAATTTCTTGAATGCCATGAGTGGGAGCTGCAAAGGAAGGAGACAGTTGGTGAAAAGTGCAGGTATTGTGAGCAGGGCTTGGCCTGTAAGGAGGAGGAGGTGTTAGGAACCCCACCTTGCCCAAATGGATTTCTGCTTATCCAACTCTGGATCTGAACCATTTATTTAAAAATAACAAATTTTTAATGGATCCTGTAATTTCCATCCCAACAAAAATAGGTCTGTTGAGGTAGTGAATGGCAACCATTAAATTCTCAACACCAGTAACATCAAAACTACAGTCAAATTATTTTAAAGTAGCCATTTGAAAGGGTCATCAGTGTGGAAGCCTGAACTGGGCCCCATCTCTTTTGGCCTAAGGCAGTACACTGCAGGGACAGCAGGAGGCAATTATGGTGGATCATGTCCCTCCACATTAACTGTAACAACTTGTATTCCATTCCCTCAGGCCTCCTGTATCATTTAATCCGGCAATCCATGCCGACATCCGGAGAGTGAGTTTTCAAATGCGATTTGCTTCAAAATTGTGTGGATTGTCCTATCTAATGCACTGATACAACTTCCAGTGAAGTTTAAACTGGAGAAATGTCTAAAACAGATCTTCAGCAACAACATAATGGCTGGACAAATTAGATCGGGGTCCTCAAACTTTTTCAACGGGGCCAGTTGAAAGGCGGCTAGTGAGGTGGCGGCAGGCGCGGAACTGGTGGTGGGCCGTGTGTGGTGAGGCGGCGGCTCGCTTGCTCAGAGAGCATTTGAGGCAGGCTGGATAAACCGGCATGTTGGGCTGTAGGTTGAGGGCCTGTTAATTAGATAAAGAACAGCTCTTTCCATACTACTTGATCACAGCCATTTGTCCTCTGGGGAATACATTTCAGATTGACTAGCCAGCTCCATTTAGGCTGTAATGCCAGAGCTGTGGTGAAGATACAGGCCCTCTCTGTGCTCTGAGGAGTACGTCTGT